AGGACCAGGAGGATGGATCAACAGGACCAGGAGGATGGATCAACAGGCAGTCAGGGAACAGAGATGAAAAACCTGAGGGAACAATTAGAACACAAAAACATACATAAGCAGGACAGAAGAAACTCACAGACAAGAAAATTAATGCAGTCCTGCGAAGAAAAATATTAACAATGGAAAATAAATTGGCATATTTTTACAAAAGATCAGATGAAGACAACTGGCATGAAGAATAACTTCCAGCTCCATCTCAATGTACCTGAGATAGTTTAATAAGTTGTTTTGTTACTGTCCTACAGTTTATTGATGCTGATATATTCTTGGTAATAATTCTTATTTCTTGTTCTGTCTTGAAAGAGTCTCATCTCAACTTGACCCATGATTACCAAACACTAAACTAATAATATAAAACTAATGTAAATGAACAGTCCTGCAGTAAATACCAACTTTGTGAAGGTTATGGTGTTAAAGTAATTTTATTCAAACATCTTGATTCAGCTGTTATTGATTAATAGAAGACAGAAAATGAGATCTTGTACCTTTGTGATACTTTGAATGCAACATTCAGTTCATGAAGTCATTCTCCTCTGGTTTACCTGGAAAACATGAAAACATTGACTCATCTCCACAATCACGTTTTTCTTTAATGATAATGTCACAATTTATGCTGCAGTCTTTGACAAATGATCTATAACTTTACTAAATTACATCAATCTTGTTGTCATGTTGTCATCATTCTTTGTTAAATCAGGTCTCTCTTGTAAATGAGTCCTCGAGGCTCAATGGGACTTACCTGTAGAAATAAAGGTTGAATGAATCTCTCAGGAAAAAAGACCAAATATTTTCTAGTTGAGTTCAGTAACTGGAATTACCATAAATGTAAAAAAGACCACCTTTCAAAATTTAAGCAGGAATAGATATTTTAAAACGTTGAATTAGAAATCGACCCATTTAAACCGTCATGTTGCAGAGCAGCTGCAGTTAAAACACAACTAGCAATTTAACATGTTTCATTAACTAAAACTGGCGACATGAAGTATTAATGTTGATAAACTGTGGTACAGAACAGTCAGATAACGCTTCACAATGGAGGAAAAAGTGTCGTATTTGCATCAACTTACCGGAAAAACACGGAAAATGAACTACGTTCAATGTTGAACCCGCTGCTGTTTGGAACTCTTTGCCGCTTCGTGACCCACGTGACTTCCGCATTCCATTCTTTCTATGGGAGTCTATGGGAGTGTCGCAACTCTCTCTTTACAGGGCTCTGGCTTAAACTATCTTTTTTCAAAATGGTGGAAATGAGCTCACATAACAGCAATAAAATACAAAACTAAGAAAGTAAATATCACTTTTTTTAAAGCGCTGCAGTAGCGCGCTGCGTCCAGCAGGTGGCAGCAGTTTCAATTATTCAAAATGGCGCTTACATTCAACGAAGAAGAAGAACGTTTACTTCCGGTAAACTTCCGTATTGTAATATTTAAAGTTTGGTTATTCATTTAGCAAAAATAGCTAGTAATATCCATATAATAGTTATTCATTTTTTGAATATTTCAGTAAATGTTTATTTTCGTCGCGACGCGGAGATTTCAGCGAATGTATCTGAGCTCAGAAACTCTAAATGAGTCCAAATCTGGTTTCTGATGGTTCTGGTCTGTGATGATGGAGAAGGTTCTTATCATAGCCACAGAGAAACGCGTCCTTTTCCCGGTTTCCTTTGTTATCCGACTGGCTCTGGTCGCTTATGGAGACTACCAGGACCGGAACATGGCGGTGAAATACACGGACATTGACTACCAGGTGTTCACAGACGCTGCCAGGTTCATCACGCAGGTAAAATACAAATAAACTGCTACTTATAATATAAAACAAGTTATATACCATTTATGCGTTACTTACAGGATTAACTTGTAAAAAGTAGCTGGACAATTATTGGTAGTTTTATGGCAAAATCTTAAAAGTCAAATATAACGAGAAAAGAATGGCAATATATTCTGAATAATGAGTGCTGAACTGAGCTGTTAAAGCTAAAAAGATGCAGAACCATAGCTAAAAGACAAAAGCAGCTAAATGCTAGCTAAAAGTAGCAAAGCACACAAGCTAAAGGAAGCTGAAAGCTAGTTAAACAGTGCTAAAAATGGCAAAAATAAACAAAAGTTAAATTTAGTAGTAGTAAAAGACTGGGTAAAAGTAACAAAACCCTAGCTAAAAGAAGCAGATAATGTAGCTAAAACTAAAAAAAAAGCCACACTAGTTAAAAGTAGCTAAAGGCTCGCAAACTAACAAAAGCTAAAAGCAGCAGAACATTGCCAGAAAAAATCTTTAACATATCAAATAACTAGCTAAAAGTACCAAAAGTCAAGCTAAAAGTAGAAAATCACTAGCTAAAAAAAGCTAAACACTAAATATCAAAAGGAGCAAAATCCTAACCAATAGTAGCAAAACAGACTAGTTAAAAGATTCAGAAAAGTAGCTAAGTGGGGCAAAATACTAGTTAATAGTAGCAAAAGTCTGATTAAAAATTAAAAGTAGCTAAATTTAATGCCTTAAAACTAATGGTAGCTAAACACTTAAGCTAAAATCTAAAATGAGCAAAACACTAGTAACAAAAAGTTAAAAGAAACACATCCTAGATAAAAGTAGCAGAAGGACAGCTAAAACTTAAAACTACTATAAAGAGACTGAGGCAACAGCTGAAGCAGATTTCAAAGAGAATAAAGTTTTGTAGGAACTGAAGAGAACTCATCGTATTTCTATGGGGAAAATAATTGTAAATAGAGTTGAATATTGAGGAAAATTATGAAAACCAAAAGTTAAAAACCCATGTCCTGAGTGTAATAAAATAATCAATATTTTCACGTCTCCTGCCTGTGGTCATAATGTTCTGGCTGTCACCTAGTTGGACATGTTTAGGGTTAAATTTTCTAACGAATCATTCATTGCTGAGTATTTTATATTGAATCAGTCTGTGTCTTATTTTTCTTCAGGGCGAGTCTCCGTACAACAGGTCAACGTACCGGTACACCCCCCTCCTGGCCTGGCTCCTCACCCCCAACATTTACGTCGGCGTGGTGTTCGGTAAGATCCTCTTCATCGTCTGTGACGTGCTCTCCGGGGTGCTCATCTATAAAATCCTCCGCCTACGAGGTCTGAGCTGCAAGGTGGGTCTGTCTGAGCTGACTTTGTTCCAGAGCAGGGAAGTTAAAACCTTATTTTACACATTCAAACAAAAATAAATGTGTTTTTGTTTGTTTTTTTGCTCAGTCTGCAGCTCAGGTTTGCTCCCTGTGGCTCCTCAACCCTCTGCCCATGGGAGTGTCGAGTCGAGGGAACGCAGAGTCGGTTCTGGCAGCTCTGGTGCTCGGGACGTTGCTCTGTAAGGAAGGTGAGGCTCAGCTCTTTCAAACGAGGCCAAGTTTTATCACGACGTCTTGATGCGAGTTTCATTTCCTCCTAGAGGGACTCGTGGCGTGGGCAGCCGTGCTCTACGGACTGTCTGTTCACATGAAGATCTATCCGCTCGCGTTCGGCCTCCCCATCGCTCTGACCCTCAGGACCTCAGAGGAGGACAAGCAGGGGTCAGCGTGGAAGGAGTTCATCGGAGGTTTCTTCAACCGCCAGCTGATGACGTTTGCGAGCGTGGCTGGAGGAGTGTTCGTCCTGCTCACGGCGCTCTTCTATTATATGTGAGACAAACACACACGGGTCACTTGGAGCAGCACCTGACACTAATCACCTGTGACCCTTCAGGTACGGCTGGGACTTCCTCCACGAGACGTATTTGTACCACCTGACCAGACGGGACATCAGACACAACTTCTCCCCGTACTTCTACATGCTCTACCTGACCGCAGGTACTTATTAACACATTTTATTAACAAATTTGAAATAAACTCTCCCGAGTATAAACCTCGGATGAACTTCTTCAACTGGTTAACTTGGTGGCCGTATAGCTAGCTGAGCTATAAGACAAAAGCTTCCCATGAATCATCCAGTTTTACAGATCATGAGCTAAAGTTTGCTGTTGTAGTAGCTGAGAGTCGTACATACAAAATACTCTGAGCACTAATAGATCATACAACATCTTGAGGCGTTTTGGTTCTTTATATTTTAATAGAAAGTGAATAAAAACAGTTTGTCGATGTGATAAAGTCCTGAAGGCTCATCTATATTTAAATGTTTGTTTCAGACAGCAGGTGGAGCTTGTGGCTGGGCCTGGCAGCGTTCCTGCCTCAGCTCGTCCTGCTGCTGGTGGCGTCCTGGGCCTTCCACAGTGACCTGGCCTTCGCCTGTTTCCTCAACACCGCCATCTTCGTCTCCTTCAACAAAGTCTGCACCTCACAGGTACGTAACTTGACCTCTACAGTGCGTTTAATGGGATATTTTTCATATTTAAAGGAGGATTTCTGTGAAAAAATTGTGAACAAAGAGCGTAATGGATGTTGGACAGCTCTTTAAACGACCTTGATTTGGAGAAAGATGATTTTTCTAATTGTTGGTACGAATAAGGCGATTTTAAAAACTAAAGCTTCGAGGTGGAGTTGATTTGGACGTGAAAAAGGTTTATTATTATTATTATTATTATTATTAAAGCAGGAAAAAATTAAAAGTCAAAGGAGGAGATTAGGAGCCTAAACAAGATGTGGAAAATATTTCACCACAATGATTTTTTTCTTGTTGTATTTTATTTTTATAGTACTTCCTGTGGTATCTTTGTTTACTTCCTCTGGTCATCCCAAACCTGACCCTGTCGGTGAAACGGGCTCTGGGCCTTCTGCTGCTCTGGTTTGCTGCTCAGGTGAGTCCGTCGGCTCATTTCGTGTCGGGTGAATCTCGAACAGAGCGCAAGTTTTCACCTCTTTGGTATATTTTCAGTTTAGTCACCTTAAGAACTGGACTTTAAATGTTTATTTTTTATGGAGTTTGGATTGGATATTTTTTATGGAAAGAAGAAGAAGAAAAAACTTGTTAAGCAACACTAAAAAAACCCGCAGAAATCTAAAGTGGTGTGTGCGTATGTATTCACCCCCTTTGCTTTATAAATCTTAAATATTCCTTTCAGAAGCCACACAATTAGTTAAATAAGATCCAACTAAAAGGTTTTGACCATCTAGAACAGCACTGTTCTGGTTTAAATCATGGTGCAGCATGGTGGAGGCAGCATCATGATGTGGGGGCGAAGGAAAGAGCAAAATGAGAAAATCTAGAGGGAAACCTGGTTAATTCTGACAGACATTAGAGACCAGGATGGAGGTCCACCTTCCAGGACAGCAGTGAAGACCAGTTGTGTTGAAAGCTGTAGTCTGATCCAACAGAACCAGAACCTGGCAAAAAAATAAAAATAAAATAATAATTTAACCTTTATTTATACAGGCAGTCTCAATGTGTCACTAGGACTCATTTTCAAGAGAGACCTGTTTGGGAGCAGATGGTGGGGTTAAATGCCTTGCTCAAGGGCCCAGAGTTGGGCAAATGAGGGCGGAGGCAGGTGTGGGTGTTTCACTTTTTTCCCCCCGCATTTTGACGTTGTCGGTTTGGGGAATCAAACCGGTGACCTTCCGATCACAGGCCCATCATCTCTTAACCTCTGCGCCACCACTCCCCTTTTAGCTTCAGTTTGGTAAAATTTTAGCTTTTAGCTACCGTGTTGCTGGTTTTTACCTATTTAGCTAATTTTAGCATTTAGTTACAGTTTTGCTAATTTTAGCATTTAGCTACAGTTTTGCTAATTTTAGCATTTAGCTACAGTTTTGCTATATTTAGATTTTGTATATGATTTTAGCCAATTTTACCATTTGATTATGGTTCTAGTTTTAGTTTATGCTCTTAGCTACTGATTAGCTAATTTAACTTTTAGGTACAGTTTTGCTAGTAGTATTTTTTAGCTGCTATTACCCAATAAAAATGACCCAAACCAACAGCTAAAAGCTCTTAAAGGAGAAACGTCAGTTTTCCTGCATGTCCTGAACATACGGTGGAGATCTGCAATAAAGAATGTTTGAATCTTGAATCGTTCAGGATTGTTTCTGTTTTACAACCAGTCTGAAGTTTTTTACAACTTTCAGTATTGCTTGTAAAAGTATTTTATAATGGTACATGCAAAGTATGAATACAGCGAGTTATGAACTAACGTTTTAAGACTTTGGTTAACAAACGACTTAGAAACGGTCATTAAGCACTGAAACGCTCTCGTTACTGTTCGTTACAAGTTTTTTTTGAAGTATTTTAATATTTTAATGCTCAGCTTTGAAGTGAAAAATACAAATTATGTTTCAAAGTGCGTCTCGATCCTGAATAGTACGACTATTGCTAACGGTAATATTACTAACATTTATATGAATAAATAGAAATCAGTGGGATTTTGGTGAAACACACGAGCAAACCCAGTTCTGTTTGGAGCTCTGCAGCTCAGACTTCACATCAGAACCATCATTCAAACGGGTCGCAGAAAGTTGGACTTTACAGAACCGAACTGCTGTTTTGTGATCCTCAAAAGATTTTAATTAATTATGGTTTGATGTTTTTGATGATTTGTCCCACCTAACGATGATGTCACTTTGACGTTTCAGCTGTCTTAAGTTTTCTAATCTTGTGAAAACTCTCTTCTTACACTCATAAATTGTGTACTTGTACGTATTGTATCTTAAAACGCAAGTATTTTTTGTCTTCTTTCACTCGGTGAGACTCACTGCTGTAGGACTTTTATCTCAAATCACCCCAGAATGCAACAAGGACTAGGCCTGTCATAAAAAACTTTGCTGGGCGATTAGTTGTCTCAGAAATTATTGCAATAAACAATAATATTGTTTAAATTGGATAATAATTAATAATAATAATTAGTAATTATTGTCAAATTTATGAAGAAATGTTGGTTAATTTGTTTTGAGTGTACCTTTTTTCGACCACCGGATGGCAGTATAAGTAGGTTTGAACCAAAGGATGGATAGTGAGGGAGCGAGCAGCATGTCTCTTTAAGAAAAATGGGAGGGAGGCCCCTTGACGTGACATGGGCTGTCTCTCCTTCCTGTTTTTCAGTTCTCAAAATGGCGGACGCTCCGTGTGGTTTGAGCTCTTTAGCATAGCAGTTTTCACACAAAGCTTTTCATAAAAAATCAGTAAACAAGTTCTCGGCTTCTTTCAGCAGAGAAAAACAACTTTTTCACACGAAGGCGCGGGTTTCAACCATGAATTTTCGACAAGACGGAGGTTTGTTCCTGATGTCGGCCTGTTAGCTTTGCTTGTAGCTTAGCTTCTCAACTTAGCTGCTTTTAACGATCCAAAAACGCCATTTTGAACCGTTAAAATGGATTTTAAAGAGGGGGGGGGGGGGTCAGTGAAGAGCACCGGAGTCGAGTCTTTTGTCATCCAATGTCTTCAGTAGAAAGAGAGAGACGCAAAGAAACGATAAAGCCGATAAATGAAAACGAGGTTGATAATTTTCACTTATCATACGATTAATTGATTTATTGTTTACGCGACAGGCCTAACAAGGACACAAACAAGCTTCCACCAGTTCACTTAATTTCAGCTCGAATTGTACTCGTAAGGACTCAAAGTATTTTTAAATTCTTATATTTAAAAAAAAAAAACTTCAGACACGTCGGAATCCACATCAGAGCTGCTCGCCGTTAAAGACGTTTTAAGAATTGACTTGTAGTTTCCACTCACCGACTGTCTGTTTGAGGCTTACTTTTTAGTCTGCGCCTCATTATCTTGGTAATGAGGGAGTGAGTGACAGACGCAGGTGTGTTACCACGGTGACCATAATGATCCACTGGCAGCGGCTTTAACATCTTTTGATCTTGGTTTTCTTTAAACGTCTAAATGTTTAAGTTTTACGGGGTGGTGTTGGGTTTTGCGTCGATGTTTCTTCAGGTTTTTTCCGTTAACGTTGTGGCTCCTCGGTGTTTCCGCAGGGTATCTGGTTGGCTCCTGCCTACTTCCTGGAGTTCGAAGGCTACAACACGTTCGCTCTGATCTGGCTCGCTGGGTTGCTGTTCTTAGTCGTCAACTGCTTCGTCCTGATTCAGATTATAATTCATTACAAACCCAGACAGACTCCGCAGAGACCGAAGGTTGAGTGACGCCTGAGCCGCTGGAAATGTGGAGCGCTTTCTTCAAACCTCGGCACCAGGTTCTGCTGGACCGGTTTTTAAAGATCTGGATTTTTACTGGAGATCAATCATGTAGCGTATCGATCATCGGTTATTTTAGATAAAATTCTCATAATTTAGAGCTCCCAGGAGGCAAATATCACATGTGACCAGTAGGTGGCAGCATCTCCTCCCAGAAGAGGCGGAAAGAGCTTCTACCCTTGTTCGAACTCACAGATTAATCAACTGGAGCATGAATCTGACCCAAACCAGGCCTGCAGCGGTTCCCTAATCTCACCGGACTGTTTCCTCCTAATCTCACACAGAAATCATTTCAGTTCTGCAGGTTCTGCGCCCGTTTGTTTGGAACGCGAACGCCTCTTTTCTTTTTATTCATATTTAATCGTTTAAGACGGGCTGTGGTTGGGGATGAATTAGCGGCTTCTCCTGAGACGTTGATCCAAACTGTGTTTTTGTTCCACATGTGCGGCCATGTTGGGCTGACTCACGATCAGCTGTGGCCTGAATATTCACTTTATGAATCACAGCGCTGCACTCGCTAACCTTTCAGCTGGTTGTTCTGGCCCGCGGGTCCAAGCACAAACTCTGCATTCCACCCAGTACCACCAACATCCAGAGGTTTTATTTAGAAATCTCTTATTTTGACGATTTATTTCCACAGAGAAACCGTTCTAAACCAAAAATACCTCGTCGAAGATCAGGAGTAGAGCATGTTCATTTATAATAAAGATTTATGTAGATAAATATATAATACATTTACTTGCGTGTGCCAGTAAAACTGTTTTTGTTAACTGGATTGAAAACCAATATTCTATTTATAACACCATCTCCGAGGAACTAAGTGGTTGGTGTCATTAAATGAGCCTCTGAACCACCGTTTGATGAACATTCAAGCAGCTTAAGACAATGAGCGTTAAGGCGAGGCGATCTGTTGTCCTTCTTTAGCTAATTGAGCTCAGGCTGTTGGGGTTGTTGCTTTTTTTATTTTACTGATTTAAAAAAAGAAACACTACTGTTCAGCCGTTATTCTCTCCCCTTTCGACTCCAATGAGGCAGCCATGGCCAAAGTGGTTCAAAACATCAAAGTTCATTCTCAGTAATCCAGGTAAAAAAATCCAACAAAGTGCATTCAGGTCCTCTGGACGGTTTCTTTTGAACGTTGATGTTTTGAACCACGTTGGCCATGGCTGCCTCAAAGGAGTCGACGGAGGCGGCAGACTCGGAAACCATCTTGTCGCCATCAAACTGGTTGGCCCACTATGTGAGTGTGCTGCTTGTGGGACCGAGTTTGATGTGGCTCCTTGGACTGATGAAGTCCTCTGGATGAAGGATGAAACGTTTCAACAAAATAATAAACTGTCCAGAGGACCTGACTGAACTTTGTTGGGGTCTTACACACAGTTATAAACTGAGATTTTACCAAAGAATGTTAAACGTGGAATGTGACGATGTCTAAACTTTTCCCATAATTTTAAAATAAACATTTGTTACAAAGGTTTTTTTTTAGTTTAGATTCATATTTTGCATTAAAACATGTGTATTTTCTTTGTCTTTTTTCACCCAGCGTGTCTCTGCTTTAGTATCTCTCATGTCCCGCCCAGAGTACACACATCCAAACTCTCATTAACTTCCGTTGTATCTGAGCTCAGAATTTTCACTTTGAATCTGAGAAAAAAGGTCTTTCTAACATGTATGTGTAATTATTTAGAGAAAGTAAAAATTTAGTTGAGGCTCAATTTCTATTTCTGCCTGTTTGATAAAGTAAAAAGGGGTGTTTCCCCTTTTGCCTTCCAGAAAAGGCGGGAATCACCATGGCAACCAGTGACTCCGCAGATTCTGGGTCACTGGATCTTGTATTATTCTACGGGCCCTTCGTTGTTAAATGAAAGCGTCATGGCCACCACAATAAATTCTGTAAAGTTGAGCAATTTTGTCCTGAATAAAACAATTTTAAGGAGATTTACGAATTTTATTTACAGTTTAAAAATGTAAACATCGACAATTGGTTTCAAAATAAAGCTCATAGGTACGCGCCAAAATAAGACAGTTTGTGTCATAGCTTTAGATTATTACAAAAGTAAGTCCCAAATGACTTTTGGGCTCCAGAGAAGAAAGATTATGTTATAATTGTAAATTTTTTACTATTTTTCTGTTTTTTTTTTCCTCTCGTCCTCAGTTTGTTTATTCTCACCCTCTCCTCTTCTCTACAGATAACGTGACAGAAGCATGCAAACGATCAAATATTAAACATTTAAAGTCGTTGCCGTCAACCCTCCCACCTGTATGGGTGTCGCAGCACGATTTGGTTGTTTGTCCTTAAAACAGTTGTGCGTGATCTGACGTGCACGTTAGCCACACTGCTGCATATGGGATTCATATGCGCTGCTGCCTGTCAGCTCACGGGAAAAAAACGACTCCATTGTTACGACGGCACATCAAAAGATGTCCAGGTTCTGGTTTTCCGTTTGAAGTTCTGAGTCCAGACTTTGAAGACGGAACCGAAGACAATGATGTCTTTGTCTCTGCGGGACAGTTAACACTGAACCAGAAACAAGTTCCTGTAAACATGCACTCTTTATTAATTCAGAAATAGGAAGTGTTGGTAAAATACTATTGTTTTCACAGGTTTCTGTCAAGAAAACACTTAATAAAACTTTTCAAAATATTTAACTTAATTTACACATATATTTGTATTTAGCCATTTCTCTAGTTAAAAAAATTAGCAAACTGAGTCTGTTTTGCATTTTTGTGTTACTTTTAGCTTCTAGCTTGCCTTTAAAATGTTTAGCTAACTTTTTTCTACTTTTAGCAACCCTTTTGCTTCTGTTTGCCATTTAGCTAAAACATCACAAGGCTAAAAGCTAAAGTAGCAAACTATGGCTAAAGGTATCAAAAGGGTAAAAAGTGGAAAAGCTAGTTAAAGTAGCAAAAGACTACCGGTAGCTAGCAGAACAGTAGCTCGAAGCTATAAGCAGTAAAATGTTACAAAAAGCTAAAAGTAGCAAAATGATAGCTAAAAATCACAGAAAAGTAGATAAAAACAAAGTAACATTAAGGTTAAATCTGCAAGTTTTAAAGAGAATGTGTTTTTAAGGGATTATTTACTTAAATACTAAAAAGTATAACCGTTAGATAAACTGGAAGTCATAGCAGCCATCTCCGGAATCAGCTGAACATTTTGACATAAATGGCTAAAACAGCTTAAGGCATGAAGAGGTAGTTAAATTGGGGGAAAGTATATGAAAAATAAAAAATCCAGTAGACAATAGTTTTAATGCTGACTGCATTCTCACAATACGATGTCCCTGCTGTTATAGGAGGTTTGGAGGGACCTGTACTCCAGCTGAATCATTAAAAACTTAATTTCCTGTCAATTTAAAACTAATTTGTACTGGCAGCCCTTACAGCATTAGATAGAAAAGGCACAACAATCTTCAAAATATTCTGCCCCGAATGCAGTTTATTTTATTTAAAGGTCCAGGCCTCAATTGAACAACTTTAAAAACCTCAGCTTAGGATATTGCACTTTTATCTAATTCACAAAAGCATTTCAAACAGAGATGTGCGCCTCAAACTGTGCTGCCAACCAAGCAGCATCTCTCACAGCTGCTGCAGTTAGCTCATATGAGTATTATGCATTCATTAAGCAGTAAAAATGTCCATATTTATCTAAATAAAACCTAAAAGCACTCTTTTCCTAAAAGACTAGTGCTGCTTAGGACATATATTGGTGTGAAATATTTATCTGGCAGTATTGATGCCACAGAAAGCCAAACTACAATGTTCTGCACTGTCGCTTTCGCTACAAAGGGCAAGGATATCAATAAAAAGGTATACCGTAATTCATCCCCTTGTTCTGTACTGAGCATCAGAACTTGTAATTTCAAATAAATTGTTAAAATGTGCATCAAACCTTCCTATTATTTTAGATTTGAAACAACTATAACAGATACATTACATCCAGACATTAAATTACTGAACTCAAACTTTTTCCTCTCACTAGATTTTTGTTCTTAAAAACTTGGACTTTAAATGTGTTTTACTGAAACTTCTTACATTTCATTTATTAGGTTTTTCTCTTGTCTTACTAATGGTAACAAGATTTACTGGCTTTTATTTTGCTGTCCACATAAACAAACTTGTTTATTTTGTGTATGTGCTATAAAAGCATTTCCACCATGCGTTTACACGTGCTCAAATGTACATAAACATTCTCAATCACCCTAATCGGTAAAAGCCTTGCTCTGACTGATCCTTGCTCAGCCTATAAATCCCTGTAAGCTATACACTAAGTGAGGGAAACAAACACAGAGTTGTGATGCAGATTAAATCTCCTTGCGCCCTTGGGTTTAAAATCACCCATAAGGTCTTCGTTTTAACACTATGGCCTTGTGGGCCAGTTTGACCCAAGGTCAACAGCAGGGTTAAAGAAAGGCCAAATAAGAGTGCCACTGGCAATCACTGAGACTTATTGGCTAAAGGCAGAGTTGATATTTGTATCAGTAATTTTACAAAGCCTTAACGGAGGATTGCTTTAAAAGTCTATAGCACTTTGAATGTAATCTAATAACGTAAGAAAAGTTCTGTAAGTCAAAGGTCACCTGAACCAGGCCAGCTGTCTCCATTAAAGGTCAATGACAGGACTGAAAGAGTTTTGTACGTGTCACATGTCCATCATTCTGACCGAACAGACCCAACCCATTTAAAACTTCATTCATTCTCACTTTGGGTAAAACTGTAAGACCGTAACTAGTTTATGCTGCCAGGAATTGGTATAGCCAGGGAAGAGTAGTTCAAGTACCGGTATCTAGGCGTCTTGTTTACGAGTGGTGGTAGGATGGAGCGGGAGACGGACTGAAGGATCAGGACCTCGTCTTCAGAAATGAAGGGGTTACTTCGGTTGATCGTAGTAAAGAAAGCGTTGAGTTGAAAGGCTAAGCTCTGGATTTACTGGCCCATCTATGTTCCAACCTTCACTTGTGGTCTTGAGGTTTAGATCATGAGCCCCAGATCCAAGCAGCTGAAATGAGGTTCCTTCATAGGGTGGGGTGGTTCAGGCTTAGAAATAGGGTAAAGAGTTACATCAACTGGGGAGGGGGGGGAGGGGGAGCACAGAGTAGAGCTCTTGCTCCTCTGCATCAAAAGGAGTCATCTGAGGTGGTTTAGACATCTGGATTAGGATGCCTACTTTGGAGGTTTTCCAGGCACGTCCCACTGGGAGGTGACTCGGTGAACTCTCTGGGAGGGGATCATATATCCTCTCTGGCCTGGGAATACATTGGAATCCACCAGGAGGAGCTGGGAAGCGTTTCTGGGGAGAGGGAAGTCTGGGTTTCTTTCCTGGACTTGTTGCCCCTCCACAGCCCAACAATGGATAAACAAGATGGAGAGAAGATGGAGATGTACGTGCGTAGTTTTAGCTTTACTAATTGTGTTTCAACTTCTTCAACAAATTTCAGTGAGGTATTCAGCATTCACATTGATGTTTCCAGTTATCTGTTTCAGATTTATTTACTTTTGACCTTGAAAGCAGTAATGTGTTGTGTTTGAATGATTAAAACCTGATTTAAAGCTCTGAAGCAACAAAATACCTAAAAGGCCAAAAGAGGGGTGTGTGTGTGTGGTGGTGGGGGGGGGGTGCTTTATACAGCTTGGGTGTTTAAGCTTTTGCAGATGACATGGTGGTTTTAATGTCAGCCATAATTCGATTCAATTCAGTTCAAAAATTATTTTATTAATCCCACAGGGAAATTAATTGTTGTTGTAGCTCATCATCCTGGTTTCATTAGAGTTGTTCTAGATGCTGATGGCTGTGGGCAGGACTCTTATAGCAGTCCGTCCCACAGCAGATCCGATGAAACTGGCTGCAGATGCCGATCTGTCCACACAGACCCAGCAGACCTCTCGGTCTTCTTGGGCAGCAGGACTGCCTGAATGCCAAGCAGAACTCCTCCCCGGACGATGTCCATTTCTCCCAGTAGCCTACTGAGCCTCTTGTTGCCACGGACTTAACTGCAGGTACCGGGGGATGATCTCGTCCCTCCTGCTGTCACGAACCGCATTTCCCACTACCTCCAAGATCTCTTCAGTCAGGCACTCGAGGACCACCTCCAGGCAGACAGGAATGCATCCACGGCACCTCCTTTTCAACTCATTTGGGATTTGGGGCTGTAGTTGAGGTATTATTTGAGCTTTTGAGATGTTAATAAGTTGCTCCCGTTGTAGGAAATCACCTTGTTGTTATGGTTACACATAACAATTGTCCAAAAGTTAAAAAAAAAAAAAGGTTTTGGTAAAAATCCTTCTAGCGGTACAGCATCTGATACCAGAGGAAGTAATCATCCGAAAAATGCCATTGCATCCAGAAAAAGAGTAAAGTTTTCAAAAGCAAAATCTCAGAATGAATGTACTCCAACATGCCTTGAGCGGCGCAATTCACAGCCCACAATCCCCGTCTATAACCCACCAAAGTAACAAATATTATGACAAAAAATTCCCTCAGGTTTTTCATATAATAAAAGATCTTTAATCAATAACTCCCATTTGCAAAAACAGGTAGAAACGTTGGAAGACACTGCATATATAGACTGTTTGCCTCGCAGCTATCTCCTCCATGAGATAAGCAAGTTTGTCTTATTTACACAATTTTTTTAAAAAAGATACCAAGAAAAGAAAGCCATTTTTTAAATGTTAGGAAAACAGGGAAGCCTTTAAAATTATAGTCTTTAAATTATAGACTTTTGTCTTTTACAATAAATACAAAACATCAAACATGTATTGACATTAGCACACTTTAAAGAAAAAAAGTAAAAACCCACATCAGTGATTCTGTGTACTTTTGTGCGTGTCGAAAAGTGTTTCCGGGTAGGCTGGACTTGAAAACTTCAAAAGAAAACTGTTCCCAGTAGTGCAATTAAGAAACTACTATTGTAGCTTCACAAAACTGAGACTTGCATCGAATAAGTTTGGTGTGTTTAGTCGATTTGTGCAAAAAACCAGCAAGTTTTAAGGTTTAAACAAACTTAAAGAAAAAACAGAAATGTGAGATTGAAATGGTGACCCTGTCATTAGCACTAATCCAAGCTGTACAACCTAAAAGGGTGTTGACTGGTTGGAAATGAATGTGCTTTTTGAAAGAGAAATTGACATTACTTGAAAGGAATATGTCGCCCGTTGTCTTTTGTGCAAAAGTTTTCAACGAGGTTGTCACGCAACCACTAGCACAATGTCTGTAAAGTGGACTACTTGGCTTCAAAGCCCAATCAGTTGTGGATATACATCCGATGATAATCGATTGGGTTTTGGAGTCAACCCCATTCAAAATGGCTGCCACACTAATTAGCTCAATCAGTTTGACTGATAATGAGCTAAAATTTGGTATGTTAGTAGGACGGAAAGGAGACAGATTGTGAGATTGTTGTTTACACTTGGGCATGCAAATTGGCCAGAGATATGCATTCCTTGAAGGAATGATGTATGCTTTCTCTTTTCTATCCTTCAACCAAGTGGATTTAAGTCACTGCATTAAAACTTTTTTTTTTTTTTGGAAACCAAACAAAAAGCATCTAAGTCAAGCTGATTTCTAACTGTATTCTCTTAAACAAACCCAGCAATAGATTTAGGTCATGTTTATAGTCCAAGTCTGTTTCTCCCAAGAAGCCTGATGTGCACAACATACAAAAGGATATAAAATGTTTTTCCAGACAACATTTGACTCACAATCACTAAATCCAAAAGTGCTTGGAACCAGCTACAAAATGTGTACCTTTAAAAACAATATTTTCTGTCCATAAACTGGACTGAAACTATTTTTTTTTTGATTGTCACAACACTGACGATTGAACCTGAGCCTGTTTAGAGACCTCTTGATTAAATATTGAAAAGTACTTGACATCCTGGGAGCCTTGCTAACCAAAAAGTCTTCTTTTGTAATGCTGGTGCATGAGTGTAAAAACCAATAAAGCAAAGGATTTTAAAGCCTAGTTCACACGGGAATGTTTTTCTTTTCCCCCCAAACTTTTTTTTTAATATTCTTGTAAACCCAACACAGTTCTTACTAATGTTTTCGTCTACATGGAAATACCTAAAACGACCCAAAATGCTGGCGTAACTGTGCCAGATCTCTATGTTGAGCTTTAACCCTGCCACAGATATTCAGCAACAGAAACTAGACATGGAGCGTGCACACCAAGTTTACACTTCAGGTAGAAAGTGGTTTCACAAGAAGAAAAGGACGAGGACGGTGAATATGAGAGCAAGAATCAAATCTTTTTGTGGGCTGATGACAATTTGATGCTTCTTTGTGTCACATTATTTACCAGGAGATGTGTCCATCCAAATATGAAGACATAATGGACAACTTCAAGCCCAGTATCCATTAAGGGACAGCTGGAGGTTAATTTCTTCATATACAAGTGTCGACCTCATAAAATGATTCCAATTTCTCACATTTTTAAATGCATATTTGATGTATACTGTAGTATTTTGCTGAAGCATTTTTTTTGTAGTGTTGACTGTTCAATGAAGTGATAAAGACCATTCTGACAGATTATTTAGTGTGAAAATATGGTTTAATTTATCTGGTTTATTTAAAGCTGTTATTTATCAGCCACTGACAGTACACAAAGGTTTTGCTGTAGCAAGCAGGTAATATCATTGTGGTTACTGTTGATGTGTCTATTATGCTTGGGGTCATAGCTCCAATTAGAGGTGGGTCTATGACACCATAGTTTTGAAGAGGTTGTGGTTTGGCTGATTGCGTAAGGAAGGCGTTTTGAGATTTACAGTTGGCAACCCATTGACTGGGGCTCCTAAAATGCCATTTCCATGTGGACTTGCTGAAGCTTTTATTATAAACTTTTAAATATTCCCAAAAAACATTCCCGTGGTGGACGAGACCTAATACACACAGATCTGTTTGTGTAACTGTGAGTGTGATTGTGCACCACTGCATCATTTTCACTGCATATAAATGTAAGGGCTGGACTTGTGGTGGCCCGTGCTCATCGCACATTGCATAATGTTTCTCGGGCCGGCCATCATGGACTGGTTTATGTCGTGACCATTCTCGGACCAAGTTGGGGAGTCCATGGGCTCCCTTTTTATTGAATGGACCAAGCCGTGACCTTTAAACTCGTAATGCTTGTTGCAATCCGGGTGCATGTAGGCCTTGTGCGAGTAGACGTTAGAGTCCATGAGGTTGATGGATTGATTGTTGCATAGAGAATCTGAGTGGGAAAGTTTTTGAGGGCTGAACTGGTTTGAGTCACCGTTGCCAACCAAGTCTTTGTCACACTTTGGCAGGTGTGCGGTGTTGCCCCCGCCATTGTTGACTGCATAGTTTGGGTAGTTGTTATTGCTGTATGTCGGGCTGATTTCTGCTTTTCCTCGTTGACAGGGTGAGTACTGTGCTTCATAATATTCTGCCTCTGATTTGAGTTGCAAGCCAGAGCTCGAGTCATACATCCCGTTTCCGTAGCGACGGTTGACGGCCCAGGTTTGCCCATACGCGTCACATCCGTTCTCAGAATCAGAGTCGTGCTCCACCTTGATGGGTTGCATTTCAGGCATCAGATGACCGTCGTAGCATTCTCCATAGTCGTTCTCGCACTTCACCAGGTCCACGCAGAAAAAATCAGGGTCTGTCAGAATCTGGGTGTTTCCATATAGCTTGGAGACGAACACCTCGCTCCCTCTGCCGTTGTGACAGCTCGGAGAATGCCGGTAAGGCTTCCCATACTGGCCAGTCCTATTCAAACGGTTTGAGGGGATGTAGCCAACGCCCTGAGACGCTTTGACAAGACCTGAGTGGTGCTTCGAAGGCCACCCGCCTGCCATGCCAGGCCCGACTCCTTTATGAACAGCCATAGAGGACTTGCAGTAGTTGAGGGGCTCCTCCTGGTTATAGTAGCCGTCAGGACGGTACTTGAGGTTGTCTTTGCAGAGAGGAGTCCAGGGAGTGTGGTGCCCTCGCTGTGAAGCACTCGGATGGGGACAAGAAAAAAGGGGATCTGTGATGTCACCCATTCCTTCAGTGATGGAGTGCCTCCTGAGGTGTTCTCCATGCTCACTGTGAGGAAGAGAGTAGAGATGGGAAGGAGAGGTATCAACATTTAGTCCCAAATAAGAGGAAACAAATCAATACAATCTCTATGTTCACTCAGTTTTTCCTTGGTTTCTCAACCAATTTCCTTACTGAAGGAAATTAAATTTTGCCAAAGTATTTCCTGTGTGTGCAAAGCTTGACAACTCTTATTTTGGAAAACAGAGTGCTCACTTGGCTCTCATTGAACTGTTACTTTTGCAACTGACAAAGCTCCATTTTATTCAAGTAGCAAATGGATCCATCCATTCTTTGGAGTAGACTCAGTAATGCCTTCTTCTAAAATAAAACTGGTCTACTCATATAAAAATTCCACTTTTTTGTGTTTTTTATAGTGAAAGACAAATGATTCAAAGCATAAATATTTTTTGGTTTGGTTCATTTTAATACACAAAGGAACAATTTCAACACTGACTCATCTTTTCTTGGATGTATCCCATCTGAAAACTGGGAACAGACTACATCCCTAGCCCAAAGATCAATGATGGTCCACATATTAAGTTTGTTGGCATTACAACCCAAAACATATTTCTTACAGAATGCAGAGGCTACTTTTTATATGCATGGTGTTGCAAATGTTTAGCATTGTTGTATGAAGATTGTAAGTTTCAGTCTCTACAGCTGCTTTTCTTGGAGTTTGCATGTTCTTAACCAAAGTCCTTAATCCTGTCTACTTTGGTCACGCCCAATGAAAATCCTAATGGGATAGTCCAGTCATGTTTGAAGTGATGTTCTGTTAAATAGTTATCAATAATAAGTACCTTATCAGCCGTGACTTCATTCATAGAGAGCTGAAAAAGTCAAAAATCGTCACCCTGGCTATGCTAATGGCTATCCAAACAAGTACCACTTATCACTTCCTGTTCTGCCTTGGAGGGAGCTAATGACGCTTTAAACACATGGGGATTTAACAAAGTTGAGATATTTTAGTAACTGGTCCCAGGTAATAACTTTAAGACTTGTTGTTAGCATGAAACGGCCTACACTTGGACTTGACTATCAGGTTGAATATTTGAGGGGTTTTATGAGTTCGTTGCCAAGAAAAAAACTCATCCCTGAAATAAATTCAAATTAAAGATTTCCACATCGGTATTTTTCTGCGCACACTCGTTTCTCTCACGCTTGCATTGCGATTTAGTCAAGGCAGGCAGTAGGTAAGTGTTAGTTTGTAATCTGTAGAGTTCTCAAAAACTCATTTTTTAAGACCCATAAATATTTGAGTTGTGGTTATTTTCACTTTTCATATGCCAACACTTTACCTCTACCATTGTACTTTTATGTAAAGGAAGTAACAAAATGCCAAAGTGTATCGTGTGCTTGTGTGTTTAAAAGCTTTTCATTTAATTATTACCCCTTTAAAACTGTTTTACACATGTAAATTCAAGTCAAGTCATTTAAGATCATCTTACCCATGATCCATTGGAGAAATAATCTCTCCTTTGTTTTTTCCTCGCATTAAAATATTTTTCACTTTCATGTCAGTGATGGAGGGCATTAGGACAGGTATAGCGATGCAGAAAAGAGCAAGCTGTGGGGGTACTGATGTCCCTGAGGAGGACTTCTTCTTCTGCCCTTGGAGGGACTTTAGTCGACCTTGGAACTGCATGGTCTGAAACAAAAAGACACCAATCATTTGAGTAGGTCTTAAATATTATCTTGAATTGAGTTGACTCCAAGAGGTATAGAGATTAAAATTAGAGGTTTTTTTTTAAATATTTTTATCTGGTTCTGACCACTCACCAAAAATCCAGAGGTGCTGTCCAAGAGACATCGAACTCTGGTGATAAAACATCTGTTGAGAAAGCAGGAGATCTCAGGAGAAACTTCTCCTGCCTCTGGTGAGTTAAACATGCTGCTCACCACAAAGTCCTCACCTGAAATATTACAAGAAATAAAATATGAATACTGGTATTTATACTAAGCAGTACTTGGCTTAGACTTCTTCATTCCCTTTGGGACATAAGACCATAGCTGAGCAGTACAACAAACTATAAAATGTAAAATCAAATTCAGTGGCAGCTTGGAGTGGTTTTAAAGAAAATCAAACCTTTTCTGAATATACTGTGCTTTAAAACACTTTCACCCTGTGGTTGTTTATTAAGTACGAATTAAAGTTTTACATTTGTTTCATGATTATAATTATAACTTATATATTTTTAGACTATGTTCCCCCACCATCTGTAGTTTTGGGGAGTTGAAGCCAGCAGGAACTGGTTTACAGGGTTGTATTTTTGAAACTAGAGTGCTCAGTAGAGATGTGGAGCTTTAAGCTCCACCCACTTCCCCATGCACAATCATGAAATAACGACTTACAGTTAAACTTATTAGAAAAATAAAGATTTGAACGTACAGGAGCAAGGTAAGAAGTTTGTGAATCCACAAGTCAACAGCTGACAAACTGTATAAGCTGTATTATTTTATTTTACTAACAGTGGGTTTACAGGGAGGGGGCGGGGCTTAAAACGTGTACTAGAACCAGCTGCCAGAGAAGCGTGGTCCAGTTCTGGGTTCACAACAGAGGTCTACCGTTAAACATTCTTTGGTGAAGCTACGCACCAGTTCCTGCAGTTGGCTGGTTCTCCTGTGGTCCAGACCCCCCCTGGTGTTGTGGAGGACACATGGCCCAGTGGAGCTGGCGTCTGAACTCCTGCCGGTCGTCTATGTGGATGTAGTCAAAGACGTTTTGGTGCATGACATCAGTCTGAGGGGAGAGGATTTTGTTTGGTTAATATAGATGAAATCGTTTTATTGAAATATGGGTTCGGTTTTGGACCCGACATGTTTGAATGTCCTAACGGGAATTTATCATGATTTTTACTTTTCAGTTGTGTTCAGGTTTATAATTCAGGAAAGTGATATTTATTTCCATGTCCAAATATAAGTAAATTAAAAAGCTGTTTAAAAAAAACAAACTCTGCAACTAATTAATGTCAATTTGACCAGAAGGACTTTAATTCTGTCCCACGTCAACATAAAATGATCTTCGTTTAAAAACTCTGGCATAAAAGACAGTGAGGTTTTTATTTCTGCAAAGTAAACTTGTTCAATAAACAATCCACAGCAGGTAAGATAGTAACTATTCATACGATTTTCGCAAAACCTCACTTCAAAATATCCAGAGTATTCCTTTAATACACCTGACACCAGTTGTCTGATATCCACAATTCCTCACAACTCCCAGGAAGGAGCTCTCATTACATACATGTACATTTCCATACAAGTACAAGTACATTTACACACACATTTCTTCAGACAGGCAGGCAGGAGGATTTGTCGGACAGCCTGAGGGCAGCTGCAGGACCAGCGAGGGCAGCTGTGTTTGTCAAACGTTGCGTGACACCGGCTCCTGAACACCAGTTCGGTCCAGTTGACCCTCCTCATACACACACACACACACACACTCCTCTCTTTTCCAGCAGCAGCTTTGCTTTCTGTCATTCCCTGACAGATTCCTCCCCGAAACCTTCATCCTCCTCCTCCCCTCCATAATTTCCACTCTGGAGGCACGCGAGGGTTTTTGATCGCCTGCCTCTGAAAACAGTCCGGTCCCAAACTCTTGGACCTGCGGTCAGGTTCCCAACAAACAGATCCACTCACTATTGTTTTAGCCTCTTGTGAAAAGCTAAAAAAAAAAAAAAAGAGGAACAATAATATTTTTACTGACTTTCAAAGACCAACTGCTTCGATGATTAATTGTTTTTTTGAAGCTTTCTCTCTTGTTTAACATTTGTGGAACCGTTTTGGTGCAGAATGTTTTTCTTAAAGATTTGGTAAAAGCGAAAGGTTTAGAAGGCAGGTGGGCCACACTGTTTTTGTTTCTCCCCAGAGGAACTTTTTGATGTTTAATTCAACCAAAGGGCCACAGACTGAATTAAAGCCACCTGCCATCCACACATCATCACATCGTCTGCATAAATACACAGAAATGCTTTTTCACGACATTTAGCTCACATCTGTTGGAGACTCTTTTTTTTTTTTTTGCTTGCCCTCGACAAAGGCAGATGCTTCTCCCTCCTTTCTCCTTTCTCCTTCCCTGCTTTGCTCTTTGTCCTGTGAACCTTTTTCAGAGCCTCTTTCTGCATATCTTCTGAATTGTAAACTATGGATCTGGTCAGCTGATCTCTCGGCGCAATGGATCAAATTTTCTCAACAAGAAGACAGGGCGAAGGAGAGCCCTCTTGCCTCGACGGAACACTAGCATTGTCAGTCGAGGACGCTGAAGATACAAAATTGGATTATGAAAACAGGATTTCTGCTTTTTGGGAGTTGGTGGTTACCAGGCTTATCAATAAATTTGGAAAACGCCAGCAGCTGTTCAGGCCATTGTTAAGTTGCCTGGCATGGAAGGAATATGCCGTGCGGTCAACACTCAGACTCAGACGCTGTGCGAGCGAATCTCGCTGGCGGGAAGGAATAGATCTTGGAGAAGCTGGAAGCTCAACTTGGTGTATGTAATCACAATTTGGCTGTTTGGAGTCTCCCTGAGTTGTACTAGCGAGACTGTCAAGGCAGACGGAAATTAACAGGGCTCCGCCTGACCTAAATCAAATGCTGATATCTGAATCTGGCTTCTCCCACGCTGGCCTTAGAAGGCTGACCATCAGTTTCTCCTGGATCTTATGGAAACAAGACACTCTGTTTCCCCCTCCCTACCCGCTCACAAGGACATGGACCTGTGTAAGAGCTCAACCGAGCTGGCTGATAAACACTACCTCTTATCAGGAATATGGCTAGGGGGTGCTCTGGACAGTGCTCACGGACTACTCCCCCTGAAATTCACGCCTTCACTGGCCTCCCTCATTGTCTCCCCCCAGTGCAGCAACCTAGGAGATGCAAAAGCGCCACATAGCTGGCTGCGTCGCTCCCTTGGCGGCCTGTACTGGGACTCACCCACTCCACACGCATATGTCTCTATGTTGCTTTTTTTATGTGCTGGGAGGAGGCTGCCTCAGTCACCCCATCTACCCAAGTCTGTGTCTGTTTGTCTGTGGTTCTTCGGATGGGCTGTACTGAAATGTAATTTCGTTGTGCTCCGTGCAATGACAATAAAGCTGATTCTGATGAAATTAGCATTCTTTGAAGGAATGCATGAGCTCACAGTATGCAGTGGGCATGACTCAGCCACTACCACACCAAATTTGAGCACAATATTTTTCAGTTCAATTAAATTCAGTTTATTTATACAGTGCCAAGTCACAACAGAAGTCATCTCAGGGCACTGAACAGAAACACCCATATACTGTACATGAAAAGTAAGTTAACACTATTTATCTGAGGAGCAGACTACTTTGAATTTTCAGGTCTCTCTTGTAAATGAGTCCTCGTGGCTCAATGGGACTAACCTGTTTAAATAAAGGTTGAATGAATTTAACTTCATCGCAGAACTCTCATCTTGAGCACCGGTCCTGTTAGACCTCAGTGCTGCATTTAATTCAGTTGATCATAATATTCTACTACAGAGGCTTAAATATGATATTGGGATTACAGGAATGGCTCTAAATTGGTTTAAATAATATTTATCTGATATATTCCAATTTGTAAATGTAAATATTGACTCTTCTCATACACAAAAGTTAGTCGTGGAGTTCCTCAGGGTTCAGTGCTTGGACCAATACTCTTTACCTTATATATGCTTCCATTAGGTAAAGTTATTAAACAGTATAGGATAAATTTTCATTGTTATGCTGATGATGCACAGTTCTATTTGTCCATGAAACCCAATGAATCCAATCAGTTACTTGGACTACAAGCATGTCTTAAAGATATAAAAACCTGGATGACCCTAAATTTTCTGCTTTATCAATTGTGATTGTTAATGTTGGTTTGCTGTGGCCGCAAATGATTCCTTTCTGAGAGTTTCATTCTAACTTTTCAAGTGGTTCATGAGATATTTTGCTAACAGACAAACGGGATGACCCAATAACATGCCTTTCATGGCAGCAGGGGATGTAAACGCAGCGTTTAGGAGCCTTTTGTTGTTGTTTTATGTTTGTTTTTTAAGACATCCATGATGTTTGTCCACCTAAAGAATATCAGTTGCAGAATTATAAACTGAAGTTGACTGAGCTCACCTGATGAAATCCCAGATAATCCACAATGGTGGTGGAGGCGTAGAAAACCATCCCATCACTGCTCACCACCAGGGCAAAGCCTGTCAGAGACTATACACACACAAAGAGATAAACAAATTGTTTAATCTTTTTTTTTTTTTTACCCAAACGTGCATCATTCTAAATAATTTTTCAAATGAGCGTCACACAGGACAGATGGTGAAACAAATGGCAAACATTATCATTTTTATTTTATGAAGCAACATGAAGACACGATGAATCAAATAAATATATCCTCCACTGTTTACGTTGATAAAATTCATGAAACTGCAAAGAATATAAACTGAAACAAAAATGAGACAAATGAGTTTGTGCTTTTAATTTTTTCTCACTCAATGGGATTTACCTGTATAAATAAAGGTTGATTGATATGATAGAATAAATTATAAAAGCTATTTACAAATTATCTGAACAGTACAAATTACATGCCGCCTTGTGTGATCTGTTAGTGCTCAGCGTATGAGTAGAGGATGACTCTCAGCTACTACCGCACAAAAGTTTCTCAACATCTGTATTAATTTGGATTTTTGTGCACAGTTGTAAACGTACATATAGTGATTACTTTCTAAGAGTTTAATCAAAATCTGCCTTCTGGTTCATGAGATATTTTGCTAACAGACAAATGCAGACACAAACAGGCAACTACATGATCGCCCTTTAATGGAAGTCAGAGACTGTTTATGTTTATGACAGATTAACATATTCTGAAAAAAACCTTAACACAAACTGTTTTTCTTTGAAAAGATAAGAAAATGGTAGGTAAAAATTATGTTCTGATACTTTTAAAGTGCCCCCATGCGTACCCTAAAAACACCCCCAAAAAGACCCTTTAGTTACCCTGTAATTACCATGAGTACCCTGTTATTGCTTTTTATGTAACCCCTAAGTAACGTTCAATACCTGTAATTATCCCTTAAGCATCCCCTTGAGTATATGTATGTACATCTGTAAGTACAATGTATGCACCTTCACAAGTATGTGAATTGTATGTACTTCCATAAGTACCCTTTATTTACCATGTAAGAACAGTGTAAGCACTTCCTAAGTACCCTGTATATACTCTGTCATAATCCTGCAAGTTCTCTCTAGTTATTTGTAATTACCAAGTCAATACACACATACTTACTCTGTAAATATATACCCCATTAAGTACCCTGGAAGTCCCTGTAAACAAAGTATTGTAAACAGGTGTAATTGCCCTTTTTGTACCCCTTAAGTACACTTTAAATACCTGCGTTTACCTCTGTAAATACCCTGTTACTCCTGTAAATAACCTTTATGTATACCACTACTCTGTATGTATGCTGAGAAGATCCTCGGTCATCCAGGACTTGGTAAATCCAAAAAAGGGTTTCAAAACAAAACAACTAAAGATGTTTGTACTGATAAAGCCTCCCGGATGGAAAAATAAATTTCAGCTACAGAATAGAGGTCCACTAGTTTTATTTTTCAACTTTTTTTATTTATTTACCCAGAAGGTACCCTGTATGTACCCTATAGGTATCCTTTAAGTACCCCATTTGTCATAATTTTACATTCTGCTATAAGACCATGTTGGATCTTTATTCCAAAACAAGGGGTACGTTGATATTTGTTTTTCAAATGTTTAATCACAGAATGCTGGAGCCGGTTTCTTTGACATAACTGACCTACAAGTGTCTGAAATATGATCAAGAAACTTTATGGGGGCACATCAGATTCACCTGCTCCCAGTAAAATGAGTCTGGTTGGTGTTTAAATGTATCCAGCTCGTGAAATGATATCAAATATGGGTTTGATTAGAGGTTTGATGATGGACGTTGTCTGATGGACTCTTATTTATCAGGACGCTTGGCTCGTTCTGTTGTTAATGAAAATTAATAAAACTGTAACGGAGACGACGGAGGAAAACCGCGGATGAAAGCAGGAGAGGAGGAAAGGAGCAGAAAATAGGGCGAGCTCTCGGCCGCATTGATGGAAACGATGCTTGACAAGTTCAACTGCTGGCACATGGCCCCCAGTAAAACCACCCCCCCCCCCATCTCACACACACACAGTCTTCAACAAGACCCCTGTAATACATTTTTACATTTCAGTATCCCATATTGTCCAATATTTGTGTGTACATATAAAAAAACTATATATATATATATATATATATATATATATATATATATACTTATTATATGTAAAAAAAAAAATATATATATATATACAAACAATTTTTTTGCAGGCTTTAACTTTAATTGGCTTTTCTAATGGAAATACTTGGAAAATTCATTACGGATGAATACATGTTCAGAAATACTCGTTATTTACGGTGGAACAGAGAAGCCCGTTTGCTATTTATTTATAGATGCAAAGCTGCCAAAAGCAACCGAGAAAATACAACTAAGCCTTATTTCATTTATTTAAAACTGGCAAATAAATCCAACTCGAGCAGGCCCGGTTGTAAAGAAGGAAAAGAAACCTCGTTCTAACATGGGCAGTGTGCCGTTTTTGTACATTTTCTCAACTTTTCTTTCGTTTCCTTGCATACCTGCAGCCTTTATGTAATGGAAACATCCACCTGCTCCGGTCCTGACCTCCTGTCAAAACCAGCCATGGCAGAGTAAAAGCTTTGAGATGCAAATCTTAACTGCTACTTTGCACGCACATGCTAAAATAAAATATACGTTTACTGAATTTGGGAGGAGGGGAGGTGAACAGGAGGGGTTGGGAAAGAAGCAGAGGAAGTGGGGGGCAGCCTGAAACCATCACCACCCCCTCACACTGCTCCACTCTATATTAGATTGGGTCAAAAATGGAGAAATGTTGGACTCTTGTTCTGTTTATAGAGTTCACTCAGGCTGAAATATTTAAAAAATCCTTGGATAAATTACCACAAATATTAAATAACGAGATATTTTAGGGCCTTTTAGAGTCTTGCCAGCAATTTTAACGAGTGAAATGTATAATAAAACAAAATTTGTCATTAAAACAAGTGAAACAGCTTGCCATGAGGACTGATCGGGTTATTCAAATCTAACCTCGAGTGATCAACAACGCAACGGATTCCTCCGAGTTGTTATTCATTAAAAAAAGACAAAACCTTAAAGTTGTGAGTGAAAAACCGTTTCCGCCTTGCTGCTTCTGCTGGGTCAGGAGCTGCTGATTAACTGCTCATCAGCAGTCAGACCGCCTCCAACCTGGAGCATACAGGTGCGCGTTAACACAACGCCAAGATGGAAAGACATCAGCAATGACCTTAGAGAAACAAATGTTAATCTGAGAAGGGTCAAAGGTCATTTCTAAACCAACTGACACTTGTTCTACTGAGAGTTAATTTAGATTTAAAAAAAACATTTAAGACAGCTGACAATCTTCTCAGGAGTGAATGTCACAACAAATTCACCCCAAAGGTCAGACCATGCAGTGCAGAGGAATTACCTCTGACTCAGACTCCAACCCTCAGCTAGCAGGTCAAAGGTCATGGCCTCTTCTCTTGAAAACAACAAAGCAGTACGACTTATGTTTGTAAAGTTTCATCTGAAGGAACCACAAGACTTCTGGGACAGAACCAGACCAGAGGACAGATGTTTACCCAGAATGCACCGCAGCAAACGGCTCCTCCCAGCTGTCAGCACAGTGGTGGAGGTCTGATGGTTTGGGCTCCTTCAGTCACTGAGTGGACCAGGAACTCCTCTGTTGACCAAAGGGTTCTGGATTCAAATGAGTCCATCTGTCCAACAGTTGAAGCTTGGACCAAACTGGGTCCAAAAGGACCATGATCCCAAACACAGAAGCTGATCTACAACAGAACGGGTCAGAAAGAACAGAACCAAGGTGCTGCAATGGTCCAAAACCTCAACCAGATAAATGCTGTGGGATCTTCAGGGAGCTGAGAAGAAACCTCACTGATGGAAAGAAGAGTGGGTCAAAAGTCCTCCACAGCCATGTGAGACAAACGGATAACCGCTGAGGGTTCTGCTGCTGACGGAGGTTCTACAAGCTGCTGGATCAGGGCTTGGGTTGGTCCGTCCATCTTTTACCCTCTTCTTCCATCTTGGGTCACGGGGGTTACCGGCCCAGTTTTTCCCTTTTTGTTTATTAAATAAATAGTAAATTAAACCTGTTGTGAGTTTTTAAACACCAAAAATTAAACGTAAATTGTTTTACAACCTGGTTACGACCAGAACATCAGAACTTTCCCACCACTGTAAAAGTGTTTTTTTCTCTTCGAAAAACATCAATAAAATGTTTATTAGTTCCTCAAAATCAACATAAATGAAGCCCCTTGTTATGAATCCGCTGCTGAAGCCTCAGAGTTCTCAGGTCCGGCGAGTGGAGACAACTTCCATTGATTAGTGTCGACATGCTGCGGTGTTCACGCTCTCTTCTGCCCACTTTCACACATGACCACATGCATTCAGTCAGAGCTTCGCTGACACGGAGCGGCCCCGCCGCCCCCGCCAGCTCCGACGCCACCGTCTCAGCCATATGTCACGCAACACCACAGCCCCACAAGGAAGCTCACACCTGGGGGCACCTCACTCCGACAAAAAAAACCCTCCCCACAGACTCGAAGGCAAACCGTTTTTATTGACGGTGCGACGCATGACGAGGGTGTGATGTGTGACGTACTTGTTGCCAGTAAAACTAACTCCGGGGGAAGTATTTGTGTACACATGGTACCTTCTGTTTTAGCCATTAGGAGCAGAGGTCACACACCCAGCACACACAGACGGGTCATGTGGTTTCTTACGTCCAGGAGGAGGCTGCTTTCGTTGATGGCGGCGCCCAGTGGAGAGCTCTCCTTCCTGGTTTCAGGGTTAGAGGATGCCGGGCTGGTGATGTGCTTCCTGGACGTCTTGTCTTGACTCGCTACGAAAAGAAAAAGGGGTAAATGGGTTGGCACATGGGGCTGCAGACAAACAATGGCACGTTTCTGTATGTAAATGGTTTTTATCAGTCTTATGCAAGCAGGAATAAAAAATAAGCAACTTTTATGCCACATTTTTAGTCACTAAGAGGTTCATTCATCAAAAGGAAAAACAAACACTCTTGTTTTCCTCAACCAGGTTTCTCACAGTCTCTGCTGTGACTGAGCTGGACCAGCCTTCAGACATATGGCAAACTCATTACCCATATCTATCCGATATTTGGACTTTATAAATACCAGGAGGTCTTATAGCACTGAAGGGTTTTACAGCTTTACAGGATTTCTTATGTGTGATAAAGCACATGGGACGGTCACGGAAAGTGAGGCAGAAACAGATGAAAAGATAGACCGACACGCTCAAGCTGCACAGGACCAGAGCAACATGTCGAAATGGCCCAAAAGTCCACGGTGCAACCACCACTGCGACGTCAGTTATGGTGAGGGACACCATCCCCATGTTTTCCATCAACAGGGAAGAAAAGATGGAGGACAATGATCCAGGTCACATTGCTGAAGGACACCCTACTGGTTTAAGGAGAACCAGGTCCTGGAGTGATCCAGTCAAAACCCAGACCTCAGTCTAACTGGTTTGATTTAAAGATTGTTGGACACAAGCAGCACCCATCCAACCTGAAGGAGCTGCAGCAGTCGTATGACAAATATTGGGACAGAAATACACAAACAGAAGTGCAGTAAAGGGTGCAGAGCGCTATGGGGTGCTGTTTATAAAGTTGCACAGTCAAAAATTAACAAATTATTGGGTGTTTTTAGCTTTTAATAAGAAAAAGTTTTTTTTTTTAAAGTCATATTTTCAACATGTTCATACATTTATAAATGTCATAGTTCCCAACTAAATATTTAATTTACAAGATAAATATTTAGTTTACAAACTAAATAAATAACTTGAAAGTTAAATATTTAGTTAGTAAACTAAATATTTAGGTATAAATTAAATATTTAGTTTACTAACTAAATATTTAATTTCTAAGCTAAACATTTAATTCCTAAACTAAATATTTAATTTGATAACTAAATATTTAGCTCGGACCTAAATATTTAACTAGCAAGTTAAATAGTTGAATATTTAGATCCAATGTAAATATTTAGTTAGCAAATTAAATATTTTGTTTAGGAATTAAATGTTTAGCTTGGAAATTAAATATTTAGTTAGTAAGCTAAATATTTAGGTGTAAATTAAATATTTAATTTATACAAAAAAAGTTTACTAACTAAATATTTAACTTGCAAGTTAAATATTTAGGTCCAAGGTAAATATTTAGTTAGCAAATTAAATATTTTGTTTAAGATTTAAACGTTTAGCTTAGAAATTAAATATTTAGTTAGTAAACTAAATATTTAAATGCAAATTAAATATTTAATTTACACCAAAATATATAGTTTACTAACTAAATATTTAACTTGCAAGTTAAGTATTTAGTTTGTAAACTAAATATTTATCTTGTAAATTAAATATTTAGTTGGGAATTATGAATTTTGTAAATGTATGAATAACATGGTGACTTTGAAAAAAAAAAAACTTGTTTTATTTATTATTAAAAGCTAAATAAACCAAAATATTGATGTTAATGTTTCACTGTGCAACTTTACAACCGGCACCCATAGAGTGCTTCAAAGTATTTACTTTTTTCTTTTTAACATCTAGGTTGCAGAAAAACAAAGCAAACTGTTGGGTTTGGGGGCACCATCATCTAGTTGTAAACATTACTGTGAACTGGTCAAGATTTGATCTGTTTCCTAATTTAGATACGTTTAAAGAGGGTTTGTCAGAGGTTTAGTGTAATGTGTTTATTAAAACTTATATTTCTGCACAGCAAACACCCACAGGTCTAACCCTACAGACTTCTGCTGTTTAATAAAGTATGATATGTATAAATGATCATCTTTTACTCCATGGTAGGCTGTTTTTCCACACCGCTAGAGTTGGTACACCTGCTCTTTGTGTGTGCGGCGTGCTGAAGGGTCCCACGTTCCCTGCTGACGCGTGCATTGCGTGTCGAAGTCATGTTTGCGTGTTCCTCCTATAGGCGTGTGCTGTCAGAGGCTCCAACAGATCAGCCCTTTGCTCAAAGATTAGTCACGCGGCACACATGTGCACACGCCGTAGCTTCGGCATGAGGAAAAATGGATGTGCATGTCTGGTTTCTGATGCCTCGCGCAACCCCCGCCCTGCCGAATAACCTCATTACAGCTTCAGATCCTCCACCTCTGACCTTCCACCGTGTCTCTTCGCTCCATCCCTACCCCCTTCCTCTTAGTTCCGCTTTGTCTCGACCTTTTCTCTGTTGAATTAAAGGTGATCATCAAACGTTTTGCTTGAAAATTGAAGAATTTCCCCTCTAATCAGTCGTGAACGTTCAGTTTAAAGCAATGGCTCCTAAACATTTCAGCTTCTGACTCGTAAAATGATGACAAAAGTGTGTGATGCCATCTATTGCTGGTTTAAATTAATGTTTTTATTAACCTTAATTTGACCAGGCAAATCCCATTGAGATCACAGATCTCTTCAGCAAGGGAGGCCTGGGCCCAAAGGCAGCCTAACATGCATGTTCTTGGTCTGTGGGAGGAAACCGGAGTACCTGGAGAAAACCCACGCAAGCACAAGAAGAACATGCAAACTCCACAAAGAAAGACCCCAGGTCCAACTGGGGATTGAACCCAGGACCTTCTTGTTGTGAGGCAACAGTGCTAACCACTGAGCCATCGTGCTGCCATATAAATATAAATACATATGCTAATACTTTTAAATAAAGTTATAATAACAAGACAGTCTTAACTTTCAATATATCATATTTACCATCAATTTATAACTACTATTTTTCTTCTTTGTAGGTGAAATATATAATAAACAATCATTTTTAATGTAAGTTGATATCTACGGATCATCTAAGGACCACTTCATGGTGTTGGGTGGATCCCGACCCCAAACTTTAGGACTAACAGTTGAGGTTTTAAGGGTACTGATGCATCAGCATTGAAGAACTATTATTGCCTGATAAAAATAAAAAAATAAATAAAAAAAACATCAAAATGCAACTAATTTATAACAAAATTTGTTGCACAAATTTTTTGAACATGCTCAAAACATCTAAGAAACATGATTGGGGGGAATCTTTGTCTCATGCAGAGGAGTTCAAGTATCTGGGCATCTTATTCCTGAGTGATGGAGCAGAAGATGGATCAATGAATCGGGGCTTCATTGTCGGTAATGAGAGTGTTGCCTCGGTTGTTTGTGGTGAAGAAAGAGTTTAGTTGAAAGGCAAAGCTCTGGATTTACTGGTCTGTCTATGTTCATGTTTGGATCATTGGTACGTCCCACTGGGAAGAGACCTCGGGGCAGACCCAGAACTCCCTAAAAGAATTATAGGTCCTCTCTGGTCTGGGAACACCTTGAGATCTTCCAGGAGGAGCTGGAGAGTGTCACTTATCCCGACTACAGATAAATGGTAGAAGATGACAATATGTTCAAAACTCAACCAACAAGACTGTAAGCCTACGCACCTCAGAAGAGGAGATTGAGAACTTTCCGGACTGTTCTGAGACATTTTGGAGATTCTCTCGTGAATTGTTTTCGTCAACAAGTCACAGCAGCTCAATGTCACAAAGTCATCCACAGTAAACTTGAGCTGTTCAAACATTTTTATTCCCACAAACTTTCCACTTCTTCTACAATTCTACATCACACAGATATCTTTGTCTTCTTTCACCCGTGTGTCTCTCACTGCTATAGGACTTTTGGTTTTCTCTCAGATCCCCTCAAAGAGCAACGTATACCAAACTCCCATTTTCTCCTGTTTTACTTGTCATATCTCCAACATAAAGCACTACACATACATAAAACTCGACATGAACATCAGAACCCGCTGCCTCTTTCAATATTTTTTTATTGCACAGTGACTGAGGCTTATTTTCTTGTCTGTTTCTTTCTGCCTGCTCTGTAAGGAGAGCTGTGTTAGACACAAGTGTGTAGTGACCCTAGTGAGTAGCTGGCAGCAGCTTTATGATACATTTAAATTTTGGTTCTCTTTACTCTTCTGCAGTTTCTACATCAAAATGTCAGCATTTTCCAGCTTCTATTACTACAAAATAAAAGCCCTAAAACAACGTTCTCTAGAAATGTTCTAATTTCACGCACTTGATAGTCATTAAATTAAATAATCAGCCTGAAACACCCATCAGAGCACCAACCGGTAGTGTCTAAGTATTTTGTCGTCACCTTCTGTTCAATCACCACCACATCATCCAACCAGTGGAAACCTTTGCAGAAAGGGAAGTGAGTCTAATAACCGTCCTTATTTCCCTCCTTCATCGCCTCGTATATTTTTGTTTTCCCCACTTCTGGCAGCTTTTGGAGAGGATGCAGCGTCAGGAAAGACAAACATACGAGATGATTAATTATATCGGTCCGGGCACTTCCTCTGCCAACAATACAGGCTTTTATTCGCGTCGTAGGGTTTTGCTTTTCTTTGCCACGATTCTCTCGGTCTCTGGTCGAAAAAGGAAAACAGAGTAGGTAATGGTGAGGCGTTTATGTGCTCCGAGTGAGGACAGGGTGTTGGGTAAAAAGTGACAAGTAGCAGGATGTAGACACTGCCAAAAGGGAGAGGCTGAAAGTCTCTAATTCCTTTCTTTCCATCGAACGTACAAAACATTAAGACCACAACTTGTTGGCTTTCATTTTGACTTCATTTGACCAAAAAAAAACTGGATAGTTGTGCTTTATAATTGTCTCTTTTAGGAAACCTTATTAAAACAAATTACTGACAGCTGACAGCTAAGCACACAGTGAGTTATTAGCCACTGAATGGGGGAGGGGGGTGAGTATGGTTGGGGAGCTAACTGATACGCAGTGTTGTGTGGTTGTTTCTGCCTGTTTTTAACATCCCCTCCTCGAAAGCCACTTCCTCCTATAAATAAACCAAGG